CATCCACAGGGCAGAGTTCTCCGGCCACAAAGAGTACTTTATCTAATATTTTGTGAGAAGCATCAACATAGTGCCTGAGCTTGGCAGTAAATCGTCAACAACAATGGAGGTTAAACTAATTAAGGATTATCGTTTGTTTAAAATAAATAATCAGTAAAATGTGTGCTTAAAATTTTAATTGATTTTGGAACAAATCAATATGTTTTATAGTGCGGGTCCTCTTCCCATAGGCTACACATGGAATATGCAGTGTTGGTGACTCCTGAAAGCTTGAGGCGACCGTCCTGATTTGTTCCAAATACACCATGGTTTTCAGGCTGTGTTGTTCAGTGATGAATTTCCTTCGGAAATGTAACCCTCCTCCAATACTTCTTGCCCTTGTAAGCCACTGGCATCATCACTATGCAGGCATACTTTGGTGACTCGTCATCAGATTAACCATGGCTCGGCTTTTCGGATAATAATATCACGTCATCCTACATCACGCTTCATGCGGTTCGCCGAGGCAGTGGCGATAAAGCAGCTAAGACTGCACGGTGTGAGTAAAACAATTGTTTGTCAGCCTTTCGTTGTCGTGGTCCTAGGTACATCTCCGCTAGTCACTTCACCACACGTGATTGGCTGCCTAACCTATTGTGAACTTTAAATAAATCGGTCCTTGTTGTTGCATCCACAATGATGAGACAAAACGAGATACGCGCATCTATCGAGCTGCTCTTAATTACATGACTCGCCGGAAAATGCATATTCACGCGTTATTTTTATCGCAATACTGATGCAAAACGACGCCGTGTTGTGTTCCACTTACGTAAATGATTGCAGCCAACTCTTTGGAGTCATCCTGTGCATCCTCATCCTCGGTCAATTCACAACTGCTCCCGGTAGATCGAAGGCTGGCACGCGCACGTAGCCCAGAGGACGGTACATCATGACGTCTGTTGGCTCGCTCACCACCCCCATAGAGGACAAACTGAGTGCCCACGAAATTGGATAGGAGCTTGCCGGCGAAACTGGCGGCGCTTCGTGATAAATCAGTGGCATCACAAGAGATGATGTAATTGCTCGTAGCGGATCGTTTGCGGCGGCGGGCAGCGAGCAGGAAGTATTTACGATCTTCCTGTTCCATATGCACATAGTAGGTGGGAAAAATCCCCGGGTCCACTCCACGTTTGTCACGAGTGATGCGGCAACGAACGGTGGTACCCTATTCGAACAGATTGAAAGGGATACAAAAGTAGCTCATGAGTTGCACACACACAGGATCAACACTCCAATGTGTTGAAGCAATTTAGTAATTTCCACGTACCTAGCAAACACACATGACCCAAAGATCACAACTAGATGCAGTGTGGTTTCTCCTCTAAGGCCAGCTCATCATTTAATCATTTCATTTAAATAAATAAAGAAACGTTTTCTTCCTCGACGGTGTGAGGCACAATTCAAGCGAGTGGACTGATCATGTTGTACATCGAGATCGCATCACATAGTTGATTGTTCATGTTTTGTACAACCGGTCCCAAATGGATTTCTGCAGTGAATGGCAGTGTGATAGCTTTAGAGGGAGCAAGAAACTTGGAACAATAACGAATGCAGATTAAGCCAAAAGTTCAGGTAAAGTAGGACGACCACCCATCGAATTGTCCCCAGGCGACCTGCTTCCATGCGGGTTATGCCCTCGATGGGTTTCACCCGCATTTCAGTGCCCTAACGGGCTGTGTGCCGGTGTAGCAAAATAGCATGTAACCCGTCACCTGTCTCACAAATGTCGTTTTCATTAGGGTTTTTTTATGCATGCATTATGGGCAATGAATCCTCAGCCAGATCCGTCATGTGGATCATTCGTGTTTAACAATTATTTGTTATTTGCCAGCGAGTTGGTAGCAGTATGCTTTGCCTGGGTATAATTCTATTATCATGGAAACTGTAATCGGTCACCTCAACAGTTCAGCCCACGTGTGGTCAACAGTGAAATAAGCAAGAATATGAGGTATGGGGAATCGAAAGCATAATATTATTTACAATCTTTTGCTAATAGTCCAAGCACAGTTTGGTGGAAAATCATTGCGAACAACGACGATCGTGCGGAGATTTCAGCTTGAAAGAGATAGTTCCTGTCCGAAATAGTACACCAAAGCAGAAGAAAACGGTACGTGTTAGACGGGAGTGCAGGATTGGTAGGAATAAGATAGAGTGTAATAACATACTAAGGAGTTCTTCCAGGTGAAGATACAATTATACGATTGAGACAATTAGGGGACATTGCAACTAGTAAGTGTATCCAGGACCTTACTCATACAAATCATCTACAATCATCTTTTGGCTGTTGACATTTTATTAGAAACGCTCAGGTGAATAGTTGCTACCGGTCACTTCATTTCCACGTGGATATGAGTCACGATTAACAGTGTCCCAGACTGGTTGATTAGAATGTATGTTATACTACCTAGTTCGTCAGCGTTATCCGCTTTTTTAATTGCATCTCAGAGACACAATCAGCTTTCACTAACCTGACTTGGTTAGTTGTTGACTGGTTTGGAGCAGGTGGATGACACTTATGTGTCGACACATCTGCGATTAGTCCACATCATGTCTAGCCAATCCTGAACTGCTGTATGAAGGAGAACCATATTCCAACATTATGCAATTGAAGGGTCATCACTCCTATTCATAAAGGCGGTAGTCCCACTGACCCAACTAATTACCGTCCTATAACGCTACGCCCTGCGTTTTCCAAAGTTATGACGTCTATCATCATTTTTGCACTCACGCAGTATATAGAAAATCAAAAGATGATGGCACTAGAGCAACATGGCTTCCGACAAAATCGCTCATGCACTACAAACCTGCTAATTGGACGCAATAGCCGGACTGAAGCAGTTGATGGTGGAGCAGGAGTCGATGTAGTATACCAAGACTTCTCAAAAGCATTTCATCGATTAGACCACCGAATTCTCCTTCATAAACTTCAGCTTTATGGCATTGGTGATCTACTGCTGCGTTGGATAGGCAATTTCCTGCACGAACGTCGGCTGGAAGTGAGAGTACGAGAATCCCTATCCGACGCAATTGAGGTGGAGTGCGGCGTACCACAAGACTCGGTGCTAGGGCCCCGTCTATTCGTGATTTTCATTAACCATCTGACTAGGGCAATTACTTCCGATTTTCTGTTCTTCGCGGATGACATCATGCTTTGGCCAGCTACCAAAGAATCGACAGACCACGAAAAAAGCGAAAATGTGCGAGAGAAATGGTATGAACATGGGAACAGGTTAGCACTAGCTCTGTCAATAGCTTCATTGGGAAACCTCCGATTTAACGAACATCCAGGTCAACTGTTCATGGTTTAGCAGTTGACATGGAGCGCAGTTAATCTGCCAATTATTCAGTTATGTGTGGTTCGTTGATTAGTGAGAATAATTTTGAGGTATCGGCTCAAAGAAAAAAGTTCAAATCTACGTGTGACTAAGTGCTTGTTTTTCGCCATAAGCTGACCATATTCCAACGAGATCTGATCTTAAGGATACTGTGATAGTGAAGAATTGACTGTATATATATACAGGATGCAACTGCTATTGCTTCTGGGACTTTTTGCCGATTGAATCGGGACGTACGTAAAGAAACACTGAAAGAAAATTTTACTGAAAGAAAATATTACATGCCTCAAAATGACTTGATGCACTGGTAGCTCGGGTCGGTCGTTCCTGAGTTCACTTGTTCGCCGAGCTTCGGAGTTGGGATGCCAACGTTTCATCACCAAGCGAGGTGACTTCGTCAGTGCGCTGCTGGGTCCAATCTAATCCGCTGACTTGTTCGTCGATTTATGATCGATAAGCAAGTGACTTTTGAACTGGCCTCGATCTGTGCCCCGTGACACACCTTTCCGCCCAACTCTGATTGATACGGGCAATCCGTGGGATGGTTTTGCCCCGGCTGTTGTTGATGTGTTGTTGATGGTTAGTTTAGCCGACCAAGACGGTTTCTTCTTTTTTATAACGTGTTTTGGTTCCCTAAGACAAAAATTTTGGTATACTGGATCAATCCCTCGATTGGAACAACACAGAAGTCCTAGCAAAAGGAGAGACACGGAAAGGAAGCCAGGGTTCCTCGACGCATGGTACTCAACGCAGCGTTCGATAAACATGCACATAGAGATTGATCCAGTATCCAAAACGTTAAGAGGTAGGGAACTAAAACACCTCATAAAAAAAGAAGAAACAGTCTTGGTCGGCTAAACGAGCCATCAACAACACATCAACAACAGCCGGGGCAAAACCATCCCACTGATTGCCCGTATCTATCAGAGTTGGGCGGAAAGGTGAGTGTCACGGGGCACAGATCGAGGCCAGTTCAAAAGTCTCTAGAACAAAAGACCATCTGGTGAGCAATTGCTTTCAATGATTCATCATCAGACCATTACAATCATATGGAGGCTAGAAAGAGAAATCGACCCAGTTAGTTCAAAATGACTTGATCACGTGAAGGTCTATGTTAGAGTGGAGAAAACGAATTAGGTCTCAGAGGGCTAGCTGTTTGCTACTGCGTCTGACCGAGGGCAGTCGACCTGGGCGTCTTCCTTCTTCTCTGGCCAGGGGAGCTGGAGAGCCTGGATCAGCTTCTTCTGTGAGCATAAGGACGGCTGGAACAATCGAATGCATATTGCTTCGGCTGTCGCAAGCGTACGCAGGCGATAACCTTTCGTCCGGTGCGGCGGAACCTTGCAAACTATTCGGAAAGCGCGTTTCCAATCCACTTCATGGCCGGTGTCCACAATGTGGGCCAGAATGGCGCTACTAATGGTCCCGGTGCCCCCTTGACGCAGCCAATGAGGGCAATGTTCGTGCACGCGTTTTGATAACTGCCGCGCCGTTCGACCAATATACGTCGCGCCACAGGCGCACACGGATTGTTAAATTACCATTGATGTGGTCAGCATCGGCAGATTATCCTTGTTTTGTGAACGAATCAGTCGTTCCGTTGAAAACACGCACTTCAACGTGGCTGCTGGAAAGGTCGACTTTACCGCGGCCGAAAGGCTTCTGGCTAGGCGCTCGGTAGCCGCGTCCCCTTTTGAATGGCAAGAGAATAAACAACTCTTCCTTGGATGCTGTTAACACGGGCACTGGTTTGGATTTTTCTTGCAGGTTCCTTGTGATAAATCTATCGGGATAACCGTTTTCACCTAGAGTGTTCTGTATAAACACTTGCTTATCGATCACGAATTGACGAACAAGTCAGCGGATTAGATTGGACCCAGCAGCGCACTGACGAAGTCACCTCGCTTGGTGATGAGACGTTGGCATCCCAACTACGAAGCTCGGCGAACAAGTGAACTCAAGATACTACATGCTTATCAAATGTTTGAGCCCTAAATGCCAGGTGATAACAATGAGGAATTTGACGCATGATGGTTGAAAGCTATGAAAATCGGCGGCTATACGATTCCTGATTAGGGCGAGGTGCCCTCCGTATGCGCTTTTCCTGTTTAGCCACATTGCATTAGACAAGGCTTCACCCTGGAATCAGGTACTTTCAGTTTGTCACTACAGGATGAGTTAACGCAAGCATCGTTTCTATGGTGCATGGTTACAACCCCAGACCGCACGTTGACTTTCTTCTTTAATTGAACTATTCCGGTGAAATATCTGATAACGGTATTCGAAGCTGAGACCTCTGTTATCCTTTGACGCAACTGAATTTGGGAAACTTTTCTACCTGCCTCGTTGGAGTGATCGGCTTGTTTGATCTTTTCATTTAAGTGCAAAATACCCACATGGAGATTGTGGTTCGATGCAATAGCACATCTGCGAAGTCAAACCTAAAAATACGTGTCTAACCGTCGTCATAAACGTAGCACGGAGTTCAAAGTGTTATTCAGACTTTCCATTGCTAGCAGTTAGAGTTCGTTCCTCTCTTACTTCCATTAGAAGAGTCCAAAAGAAGACGGAATCAGTCGTATGATGCAATTTTACTGGCTGGGAGAGAGACAAGCCGAAACTAGCCAAAGTTTCGTTTTTGGCCTCGCATAACTTCACCTTATGAGTTATCGTGTGCCCATGAAATGAAGCACTTTGCTTCCGCACGGAAGTGCAAAATTGTCTGTTCCAAAAGAATACAATGCAAACGGCGGCGGCGCCTGAAGACCAAAGAGGATAAACTGTCTATTTTGACATGATGTAGAAAGATATGGCATAGCTGATCGCGACA